AATATAAAATAATATGTAAAAAAATAAATTGCTGTGAAATATCGGTTATTATTAATAAAATTCAGTTCTTCTTTCCATCTGTATGCGACACCATGTTCTTTTCTACATAGGGTAGGAGGCCAGGATTTTCCACCTCTTTTTGCCCCATTGGCGCCCCCCTTTTGGCCTGAGTGTGGTCAATATTTGGTGCATAATGCCAGCTTAGTGCACAGTGGGTTGAGTAGAAGAGTGGTTCTGGTGGTGGGGGAGGCTGATGGAAAGGAAGTAAGGAGGTTTAATTAAACTTTTATTTATCAACAAAGAATAATTAGCAGTGTGTAAGGTCCAGATTTAAACCCGAAGCCAATATTTTTTATAAAGTTCCAAGGGAACACAGAGCCAGGAAGCCCAGCCCACAGGTGTGTGATGCTGGGTGGTAGCCCTGTCCCGGGGACTTCTTCTGGGCCCCTCTGGATTCAGAGCAAGCAGCAGGCCTGTGGTTTCTGGCATTTCCCTTCAAGGATCCCTTAAAAATGATTCCCCCCCGCCCCCCAAGCTCCATCTTTTGACAAACTGTCTCTGAAACAAATTGTGTTTATTTAGGAAGACTTCATGTGCCCATTTTTATTTCTCAGAAACACATTATGACTTCCAGTCAGAACTCCTGATTGACTTGAGAAAACCAGTATCATCAAATCTAGTGGGTCTCATTCTAGCTGAAAATAGACATACTTAGTGTGTTAGACAGCCTGGGCGGTGCTCTGTGAGATAAACTCACAATCCTGGTAGGCTTCCCAAGGGACTAAAACTAGCCAAGGACCCTCCATCGGTAACTTTGAGTTCTGCTAGGGACCCGGGGACCCCATGCAATTATTTTAAATGGATAATTTTGTTAAATGTATCAACACATGCAATTATTTTCTTAAATACACATAAACATCGTGCCATTATTTTACTAACTTATTAAATATTTTTTGACACCCGCTATGTACAAGACTCTGTAGTGGAAGGTGCAGGAACTTAGATGCCTGGAGTTGACGTTTAGCTCTGCAGTCACTTCCCCCTTTGGGACCTTAGTTTTCACATCTGAAAATGTGGTTAGATAGTTCTGTCATCCTTAGGGGACAGGACTTAGGTGTGTTATCGAAATCACCTGTGAGCAGGGACTTTTAGAAAC